AGTCAATAAAAGACCGATTTACTAATTCTGACTATCTCCAAGTGTGATACACAGTCCCCACGCCCTCCTGTGGCACTTGCCTTCTCAATCAGTTGGGAAGGCTCAACCAAAAGCAGTACTCCTCCAAGAAAACAGACCAAACGTTTGCATGAGCCTCTTGATTACCACTTAATACCACCAATTCACTGCAACACAAAATGAAAAACCCAGCCAACTATGCTCCCTGTATAGTTGGGAATATATATAGTTTATAATATATATGTGTATATGTTACATACAGTGTGTGTGTATATATGTTTGTATATATGCGTATGTAATGTATATGTGTATCTATATACCTATATGTATGTATATATATGCAAACATGAATGCAATTGAGACTTTTTATATATGCCTTCATAGACCATTATAATCTCTTTCAGACCCTAACTCTAGATATCCACCCCCACTTATCCAGGAGGGAAGCCAGTTACCTTTACATTTGCTCACACTCCTCTCTGCTCCACAGACATAAACTATTTGTTGTTCTCAAATTGTCTAACTGATTACTACAATTAGATTAATCCCAGCACAACTACTTCCAGCGTATGTGCTCCTTGAAAACTGTTGCTCTGTTTCAGATCCGAGAAGAAGTTCATGTGCCTGAACATTTGTCTGATTTTGAACATCAACCAGTCTGCAAGAAGAATGCTGCTTCACAAATACTGATTTTAATCAAAGTACTGAGGAAGTATTAGTTATAACGTCACAAACCCTGTGAGGGAGGATGTCCACACATGAAAAAAAATGAAATCAAAATAAGAATTCTCCAAAACAGTCTCTGTTCTTGTATGCCTCTTTGACTGAGACACAGAGGGACTAATATTTCATAATACTTAATCATTCTTAGGGGACAGTACCTATCAATTAAAACCTAGGAATATTAACCAGGCTATCCTTTAAAGCATTGCTGAGAAGCAAATCAAGTAAGTATTATCTCAACTTTAAGGATGAGAAAGTTGAAACCAAAAGAAATACCTCGGCCAATAGCACAGGCTGAATTGGGAATACACCAAGACCCAGGCTCCAGACAACCCAGCTCAGCATCCCATTCTCCTTTCTGCAGAATGAGTTGCTTTATGGCAATGGCAGCTCCCAAATTACTTCAGTTACAGTTGTTAGCACTTGGTAGACCTATAACGTAGGCAGGCACTCGGTGTCTTAATTTTGAAACCACAGAACAAAGGCCATCTGTTCTTTTCACTATTTTTAAAGCAACTCAGGTAGGAAATTTAAGGCAGAAGTGGATCTAATTTCTTGGAAGGCATTCACCTGCCCAGACTATGAGACAATCTCCAGGCTGGCCCTGGTTCATATGCTGCCTAGCTTTCTCAAAACACACCAAAAGGAGGCAAAGGGCTGCAGATGAGAGGTTTCATTTCATAAACAGCACATAAATATGTTTGCTTCCTTCAAGAATCCTGTGCTCTTCCAGCATGATCCATGTGCTCTATGTTGTTTGCAACAACAACTGCTCCAGAATGACTGGTTGTAAATCTCACATAATTTTTAAGTCTCGGCTTAGAGTAGTAACAATAATATTTGTAAAGTGTATCCTAAAGAGACTTCATTTTCCTTAAGCACTGAGTCATCAAGCAGAGGTAAACTGCATAGTGAAAAGCAAACCAACCTCATATTTGCAATTGCAAGTGTAAAAGTTCATCCCTGTACTTTGCTCATTTGATGAGTTTTTCTGAAGTGTTGTATGCTCTGCTTTTGCTTCTTTCTTGCTTCATGAAATGGATTTCCCCACAAAGAAATTACATGATTCGAACCTTTATATTTATTACCTGTGTGGAATTTAAGGAATTGGATGAGCAAATCAAAGGCAATAATTTAGCATGCTTATTCACCTGCCCATAGATGTTGTTTTATAAACATATTTCTTTTTGTATCTGTTAACAACAATTCCAAATTTAATTTCTTATACATTATCTGAGAGCTTTTTTTGCACTAATACATACATCAATTTTTCTTTGGACCTCTTTAGCCCTTTTAACAGTTGTCTTTTAGCTGCTCTGGAAGTTAAGGTCCTAATTTGCCTGTCAGTTTCCTAACTTTGACAGTCAGACACTTCAGGAGTAAGAACCAGAAGTGTTCTTTGAACTGAATTTTATTCACCAAAAGTGTAACTTAAAGGATCCAAAACTACTACTAAACTTGGGCTGAATTTGACAAAACCAAAACAAAACAGCGAACAGAAGCATTCTGTTTCAGTAGTTTTGAACCAGCAAAAAAGCATTTTTCTCCTCCTTTTGGAACTGTATATAAAATTTTAATTAATGGTTAAGAATGATTAAACCTCTAAATTGAAAAAAACTATTCCCAAAATATTATTTTATTGACAATAAAAGGTTTGCATAAACATGTTTTCTCCTGTTTCTCTTTGTTGGCTTAACTAGCAAAAAAACAAATAGAACTGAGCAAATAATCTAAGAATACTATTTTATTAAGCTAGATGGTGAAGAAATACTAATTACAGAATCTCCTAAGACCTCACATCTCTTCACAAGTGTGTATTCTTGGAATTGGCTGATATGTCTTGCCCAGAATTTTACTTGCTCTTAAATGAGAATGCATTAGTCAGGCAAAATGAAAAATTAATCTTATTATTTAAATGAAAAGAACACTGATAGGCATTTTATGTTTCTTGCAGTCTGTTCCTAGCACACTACATCAATCCAAAAGGATCATTTGTTTCTTATCTGAGCTGTTTCCATGGGACAAAAGTAATAATTTCTAATGCTTTACTTCAAATCACGATACTCTAGTGATCAGCATTTACAAATCTGGAGCTGTCAGTCAGCCACCAGACTCCTAATCACACATCACTTGCTACCACTTCCAGAACAAGCTGACCACCCTCTCCCTGGCCCCCACCCTATTTTTACAGACACTCTTCCTTAGCGAGTTAGTCTTGTACGGTGCAGTGTTTAAAGTCAGTCGGTTTGAATGGAAAAATCAGAGTATTTGCTCTTTTGCCACCTTCCTTTGTCGTCTTCTAATTTCCTGTGCTCTTCAGAGCTCCCTTATGTGCATTTAAGAAAGGGAACTGAAGAAACGGGACTCTGCATCAATAGCAGTCACAGGCTCTTCCTCTTCTTCTCCCATCACTTTTCCTCCACTATTGAACTGCCATCTGTTTTTTCTAACTTTAAAAAAAGCCAGCAGGAAACTTAAGCCAATCAACATTTTGGTATATGATTTGGCCCACGTTTGGTTATTTTTACACTGAGATACTCTGAGCAAAAATCAGGCCTCCCGCTGTGGGAGCACTGTAACACACAGTTAGTTCTGTCTCTGTGATAATAATTATGACTCCAAATTGGAACGGAGTTACAGTAGCTCATGGCACACAGACACAAGCAGTGGCACCTCCTTACAGTATCGCCTCCCATGTTCTCAATTATACAAATAAGCTCCGTTATGTAACAGAATCACTTGTTCTCATAACAAAACGTCCCGAAGTGTATCAATTACACTGGGAACAACTCGGTTGTGTGAACTGCTTAACCACACTGCTAATATAATCAAGGCTGCGTTAAGCCAAACTATCGCTGCTGTGCAAACAATTTACATAACCATATTCTTATATTCTTCTTGCTTGCCATTCTTCCTACACTTTTGAAAAAAATCTGTGCACAATAAGTCCACCAAAAGTCTAAATTAAATAGTTTCAGACACAAATAGATGGATCTGGTATTAATGTGACCATTGAGAATATGAATTAATCTCCACAAAGGCCAAAAAAAAAGGCAAAGAAATATTTTTAAGTAATATTATTCTTCCTAGTGCACTTGAGAATGAGAATTATAAAAAAGTATACTCCTAAAACATTATGGGAATCGCTGGCATAAAGAACTGATAAAAACTTAAAAATCAAGTTCTCTGCATTTCCATAGGAAAGACCGAGCGTAGGCTGCAGAAATGCAAGCTCCTCACATGCTCTGCTTCCTCCATGCACCAGATGCAAATTCAAAAGCAGCACACACAACTGAATTTCTGTGCCAGTTTAAACTTTGGCTTACTTTCAAAGATGACAAATTAATGTCAACATTTTACTCATGTGGAACCCACTTATGTCTTGCACAGAGACCACCAGTTAATTCACCACTTAGACATGTTTACGCCTACCCACCCACCCATCATTATGTTGCTACATGTGAACATTCCTGAACTTCGTGGAATAATGTGATTCAAAACTGGAATAAACTGAATCAAACCCACTCATGAATAAAAATCATGTCCATGCCTCACAGCTTGCTTGCTTCCTCTCAAATTTCTCTCCCCCTCTTAGGAACATGAACTGCTCTACCCTATCCCCCACACTCTCTTTCTGCTCGAAGTCTCTCAATCCATTACTAGCCTTTCCTCTCTATTCTCTCTTCATGCTTTCCACCGTCTATTTTATAACACACACAAAAATAGCTGTGGTAGAAGTGTGACATATATGGAGCTCTAAAAATAACTGATGTCTCAACTGGTTCTCTTGCAATTTTGTAGGGGAAAAAAACCTCCACGAAATATTTAATTTTACTTGAGCTTGAATTGGTGTTTTAATCAGCTTCTGAAAAAGATAAATCATGTAATGATATTTTTTGAGCAAAACAATATATTAAAGCAAAATGAAATCATAGAACATTTAAATGATTCAGAACCTGTTTCTTTTCCATAGTGAAAGAAAAAGATACTGTTGTCTAAAAAGTTTTGCCCAAAACTAAGTCTATACAGACAATACCAGATGAAGGTACAAGCAAGATTTGTGGGGATAAGGCATTCCCAACAGAGTACTGTTACCCCTAAAAGCTGTTTTAATGACGAGGAGCAGAAAAAGCTCAGTCACAGAAAATACAAGCTTAGTGGGGTCCTTAATCTAGCCCATTTCCCCCACACAAAGAAACTGCACTGAGAAAATCCCAAACATATCCCAAAGCAAAGCAAAACAAAACAAAACGACTTACTGTCTTCTTCAACATTTTGACGGCGTAAGGTTTCTGGGTCCCTTTCTGCCTGCATCTGTAGACAATGGATGTAGCCCCACTACATTAAAAAAAAAAAAAAAGGAAGAATAGTTGTACATACGCCTCTTCGAATATGTCAATAAACAGAGTTGCCTAGCTGAAACTACATTTTCTACTCCTCCCAGTTTGGGCAAAAATACGTCATTTTTCCCCACAGATGCAATCAAAAAAACAGTGTAAAAACTGCTCTCTGAACTGCTCTCTGAAACTGTTCACTGTTGAACCAGTGAACTTCAGTGGTTATTCAGCCAACAGAACTTGCAAGAACTCAAGACGCCTCTTGGTCACACCTTTTCTGGCTCCTGACACATCCTGGAGGTTTCCTCAGGGTAGCAAGGAACATAATCTGGCCCCAAATCCGTGACAACGTATTTTGTCTTTGTTAAGGCAACCCATTTGCAACAATTAGTTGCATTGGGGTTTTTTTACTAACTGTTGATGGCAGTAATGGGGAGTGAGACAGAAAAGAAGAGACAATTATTGTGCTGCTCCCTGCCCAATTGCCCAAAGAGCCAAATTCGGCACCAGATGGAGTGAGCAGCACTTTTGGCTAATTCAGCGGAAACTGGTGGGGCTTGTTCATAGCAAAATTGAACTGGGCTTACATCTTTTGGTTGCCTTCAAGGCATATGCACTTGCATGTGCTAATATAAAATTATGGCTCTGCTGGTTGGAAGGCACTTCTCTGGGAGGTTGGGCTAGACAGTCTCTAGATGCAGGCTCAGCTGCTGAGGTTACTTGCTGTGCTCTACTTGTTGCCGTCATGGAAGGGACGGTACTCTATGAATCAGCTAAAGAGACGAAAAACCTTTGGCAAAATCCTAATGGTTACAAACAATTCAAATACCTTTATATTCTACCACATTTACTTTTAGATGCCGCTGAACAATCTAGTGTCAGCTGCCATCAAAATGGATGCACTGAAGTGCTACGTGTCAGCACTGGATTTAAGGCATTTTTGGAAGCCTCCTGTCCTCAGGAGATTTGTCACCCTCTAAGACTCAGCACTTCCGAATAGCTGCAGATTTTTAAGCTAGAGGGGACTGCCGTTACCATACATGACTTCCCGAATAACATACATTGCAGAACTGCACACAGCCACTCCGCAGTGAAAGGATTTTATGTATACCACACACCAAATTGAACTGCAGATCTCTGAACCAGAAGAAACCCATCTCAGTATGTCTATAGGAGATGACCACGAACTGCAGAATGACACAAGCAGCTTTCTTTTAAACAGTGGAATGGCATAGCCATTTTTGACTTCATGAATAAAGCTGTAAAAACAGGGTTTATTATTCTGGGTGCACTGCTGTACAAAACCGCCATGCATGCTCTGCACTTCTCCCTCATCAGCATGGGCACAGGTGCCAGATAGTGCTCTGAGTAGGCTTGTCCATATTTTTATGAGTACCTGAGTGAGCACAAGAACTGCCATTTGATTGAGAAGATTTATTGCAGAAAGACCTCTTCATCAGGAAAGGTCACCTACGGCAAGGGTTACGCAGCTCAATCATCTGAGGGCTTGTGTGCATCAAACACACATAAAGTGATCTTCACTTCATCTCAAACGCTAAAATGATTTGTCTTTCATAACAGTGTGGTGATAAATGTGTGGGAGTGCTGCAAGCCTCAGTGACTCCCAGAATCATTACATGAATTTAATTAGATCTCCTCTCCTTGGCCAAGTCTCAAAAGGCTCTATTTAGCAAGAAGAAAAAAATACACCACATCAAAAAAACCCTCACATCTTTTAAGTACAACCAAAAATGTTAAAAGATAAAATTCTAAGGACCTGCTGTGGTAAGGTTTATACCTCCAGTATTTCACTACAGCACTGTAATGGGGAAATCACTGCATAAACTGCAAATCATTCTTGTACCCTGCTTCACATATTCAGAGTGCAATATAAACATTAAACTGATTAGTCTACGTACA